GCTTCCACCGCTCCGCCGGCTGCGTGGCAGGATGCCCCGGCAGGCGCTGGACCCGCCTCCTGCCCCTGCTCCCCTCCTCCTCTTTAAAGTGAGATTTTGATGCTGGAGAGGCGGGAAGGCGCTGCAGGATAAAGATGCTGCTCTTGGCTGGCTGCGCTTCGCCTTCGCTCTTGTGAACGGACAGAGAAACACACCTTTAAATAGAAATAACTGCGGGTAAAGGAAATGATGGGGCACCAACCAGGGAAAGTACTGGCTCTGGCACTCCTTCTCTGGTCTCCTGTTTTGTCCCCCTGTTCTCCAGCTGTGCTCCAGGAACACCCCAGCCTGGCTCCTGGAGCGATGTTGTGGCTGCAGGGATGCTCACTGCAGTCCTTCCCATCTCAGCCCAACAGAAAAAAAATATTATTAAGAACAGTTTATCCATGTGAAAAACAGCTCCCAGCGATCCTGCCAAAGTTAGTGTGAATTGCTGAGCTGGGTCTCACACACTGACCTTATCCAGGCATGCAGGACACCTTGGGGAGCGGGAGCACCCAAGCCCTCCCTTCCCATGCTCTTCTCCCTGCCCTCTCTAGGGACACATCCCACCTGTCCACTCGTGTGCTTGCTCCTCACTTAACTGGAAAAGGAAACTATGGACTTTTTCCAGGTCAAAGAAGATCCACATGTGTATGAAACTTGGGTAGGGATTTAATCAAAGCAAGTTTGTACATGCAGCATTTAGCTTGGTCACCACCCTTTGACCAGCCACCAGGCCATCCTACATTAGGAACGGGGTCTGGGTAGTCTGTTCTCCAAGCATGAAATCCCAGGGAAGAATCATTGTTCTGATCCAGGGTGAGTGCTGCAAAGAGATGTTTCCTCCTCTTAGCACCAGTCTGAGGGTCTGCTCCAGTGCAGGGCTGGGGTGGCTGAATGTGCTGCTCCACCAGCAATGACCTGGCTGCTCTGGGGATCACCTGCAGGGCTCTTCCTTGCCTAGCCTCTCCTGGGGCACTGAGTGAGGAGTTTCTGAGTGCTCTACCCATTAGTGGGTCCTTATGAATTCCCACTGCCAGGCCCAGCATGACAGAAGGATTCACTCCCAGCATGGGTGGGATGCTGAGGCCTCCGAGCCCTCCATGTCACTTCATCCTGCCCTGCTGTTAACTCTCCTCAGAGGTATCGTTGTGGGATGCAGAGCAATTCTCCAGTTCCTTTGTGATCCCCACTGAGCATTGCTCCACTTTGATTTTCTTTCTTCCTCTCATTGACTTCTTAGCTCCTGTAAACAGCAAGATGACAGCAGGAGTCAACCACAGAGCAATGGATTTACACGTACGGAATCAGCATGGCCTCATCCCAAAATAGGGACAGTGCAGGAGGAAGCAAAGCTCAGCAGAGGAACGACCAAGAGAAACACCTCACAAGTGAGGTGTGGATTATCCAGGGGAGGCTGTTGTCATCCTGGACACAGAAACAGCATGTAAAGCAGAAATAGGCAGAGAACTGACCTGATGCAGGAGCATATCTGAGAGGGTACCCAGACCAGCAGGATGTATTCCTTGTATTTTCCCCCCTTCCAGTGTGGTACATGGCCCACACCACATGCTGAGAGAAGTGTTATGCCTCTCCATCGCCCCATTCCTACCACAGCTGCATTCAGTCCTCACTTGGGACATCTCCATCCTGTCCTAGAACGTTGGATGTGTCTGCCCTGGAGTGTACAGGGCATCTTCCCCCCCATTGTTCTGAGTGGCTGATTTTGTAGAGCAAATCCTCTTGTCACCCAGCTCTGGTGGTGTACCCTGAGTAAGCAGACCCCTCTGAAGGCTGGGCTGTTAAACAATCTCCTTTCATGTCCAGCAGTAGACCTCTCTACATTTATAATTGGGTCAACACTTCCCTGTCCTTATGGCTGGTACAGAGGGGGTGAGCAGCAGGGTTTGTCTGACAGAGCACTTTTTAAGGTCTGACAGACAAAGGTCTGTCTTATCCTTACCCTTATCAGGAGCAGTTTTCTGCTTATTCACCTGTAGGAAACACGAGTACAACACATTCCTCTGTCAGCAGGGAAACCACCCCAGCCACACTGGGAGATCAACAGAAGGGGCAGAAACCTTTCTCTGCATGTGAATAACTCACCCCTGGGAATTTGGCCTTCCCCAGTCACTGCCTCCCTGACCTGCTAAGCAAACACAGCTCTGTTAGCTTAGGTGCTCAGGAGTGCTCTCCTGGTCACCCTGCCCAGGCTGCCCTGGCTAACCATTAGCAGGGGGCTCCTCCAGCTGGAGACAGGTGTTGCCAAAACACAGCATAGCATGGTATGTGCTCGGCAGAAGAACCCTCCTCCCCTCTGCCCTCGGTTCCCTCACGCTTTTCTCACAGGAGCCTCTTGAGAAGCAGCAGAAATTGTGACCCTGAGCTGATGCCCCAAGGGACTCCTCCTCCCTACCTTTCAGCCAAAGATCCTGTCCTCTTTTTCTCTTCTTCTGCTGCACATGAGCTTTGTCTTTGGTGCAAAAGTATTTCCCATCAGCCTCGGCTTCTCGTAGGATCTCATCTTCATATGGGGCAGCCCCCTATAGCAATGAGAACAGTCAGTCTACAAACTAGCCTGGATTTCCCAGGGAGCTAGTGGCATTGCCAGGGACCTTTGTGATCATTCCTATGGAGTGATGACAAATGCTATTGTTCATAAACACTCTTGTCTAGCTGGAAAGAGTGATACTTCTATCCCTCAGCAACAAGTTGTGTAACAGGGTGGGAATGAGTTTTGGCACCTAGTGCAGGAAGAGCCATCACCTTCTGGAGGGAGCTTGGGCAGGGACAACCTGTCTTATGCCTCTTGGACCTGGCAGCCTAAGCTGATGGCTGAGGAGAACAAACCAACCTCGCTGTCCGTTGTGTCTGGCTCATCGGATTCCTGCTTCCCAGACTCAGCATCGTTGTCATCTAAGGAAACACAAAAAGAAGGGCTTTTTTGGCTGGCAGGAGGCTTGACAAGCTTATGAGCAGACACAGAGCCACTGGTCCGTGCTCTGAGAGCCACTGAGGCAGAAAACAGGTTTAGCAATAAACTGTGTTGCAAAGCAGAGACACTGCGAGCTTAGTGGCTTGGAATGAATGTTTATGGATGATCCAACAGGACTCGGTTGGGAAACCAGCTCCCAGTAAAGGTGTATCCGTAGGACTTTGCTACACCAAAGTTGCAAGTGTTGCCCCTACATCTGTGGCTACATTCAGGTGGGAAGCTGAGGGGTATTTAAACCCCAGACTGCACCTTCCCATTTTAGCCCCAGTTGGGGAGAAGCATATTTTTCACACATTTGCTGTTGGTGTTGGTCAGTGTCTCTTGGCAGGAAACATGTGTCGAGGAGCAGAGGAAGGAAAGGCAGGGGAGACACTTCTCTGCCCAGCAAAAGGTTTTGCTGCACATAGACCCCAAGGCTACAGAACCCCAGACACAAACCTGCACACACTCGACCTCTGCACAGAGTGAATCTGCAAGAGTTGGGGGCCAAACCTTGCTGCTGGTGGCATCACCCCGACTGCACCCACAGCAGCACACCTGGGCTGGCTGTGGAGGTCAGACAGGGCTGGGGACAGGGCTGTGCCCTCTTCTGATGGGCAGGGGCATTCCAGAAGCTCAGTACTTCTTGGTTATGACACCAGGTCTGGCTGGGGTGGGGCTCAGCAGGGCAGCCTCCCTACCCAGGTGGGAGAGCAGACAGTGCTGCTTCCAGGCACTCCTGGAGTTCCTGTGGCCTGATCCCATCCTCACCTTATCCTTCTGCAGGTTAAGGTTCACTAGAAAGTGCAGAAGTTTTTGTGTCTTGTTTCCTGGGCTTTGTGTCAACCTTAAGGTGAGAACTGAAGAAAGTCCTGTATTCCCACACTCAGAATGTAATCAGCTGAAATTCTTCTGCCATGATGATATCTCCTTAGCATGTAAATCACAGAGGACTCCCTTTTTTTTTTTTTTCCACCGTGAAAAATCCTGCTCCGGAGAGTGTTCCCAAACCACTCTGACACGCCCAGACCAACTAATCCAGGAGAGCTCAACTTTCTGGTCAAGCCAGTAAGACTGGTACTGAGCAGCTCTCAGCAGACGTGCTTCCTGCTCCGATCCCCATGGCTGCTGCCTCCCACCCACCTGGACAAACATGGCACCCGTGTCCCCTGGTGGTCAGGCAGGGAGAAAGCCTTGAAAGGGCTCTTGTGGGGGATGGAGCAGGGAAAAAGCAGGAGAGCATCCTAGTCTACCTGCTGCAGGTACCAGCATCCCTGTCTCCATGCTCAACCGTGTGTGCTGTGCCAGCACAGGGCACGCATTGGAGTAAGGGGACAGACAGGGATGGTTTTCCAGTGTTGGTCCTGCAAACCTCTTGTGTTTTCCCCATCTCTCCTGGGGACTTCTGAGCTTCTACTTCCCTGAGAGGGGTGGGTTATGCTGGAGCAGCAACATTATCTTGCTGCTGCTCACTCTGGAGTGGGTTTTCCAATAGGTTGGAGCTACATTGACCTCTTTAGCTCCTGGGAATTCCATGCCACCAGGTATGGAGAGGAGGGTGCTCTGCAGGGTGAGTAAGGGCACCCCATGGGTGGCTCCTGACCGTGCTGGGCAGAGACACTGGGCTTTTCTCCAGAACAGCTGAAGTTACTTTCTCCCTATAGATACTGAGCCTGAATTTTGGACATCTCTAGGGTTGAAAACTGATCTCTCAGGGGCAGAAATGTGAAACCTTAATTTCCCCTAATGGCCCAAAAGTGTTGGGAACCAGGAGCACCTGGGTCCCTGGAAGGGTCTCTCCTGTTGGTGTGTTTGCAGGTATGTGCAGAGCCCAGCACAGAGCTCCGGGCTGGGAGATGCCTTTGCCAAAATGCACCTTTTGCTCTTGCCTTCTCGAATGTCACATTTGCCTGAGGCTTCTTACCTGGTTCTTCCTTCTGTGCACTCACATCCCGTCTCACCCCAGACTCAGGAAGGGCCTCCGGGTTGCTCGGTGTGGAGTTGTTTGTCAGATGTGCCCGTGAGAGCGCGAGCTGTGGGATACAGAGATACAGGGAGCACAAAGGCTGTTGCCACCAGGCAGGAGGAAAGGATTGTCCCCAGCCCTTATGTGTGACACCCATGGGGACGAGCATCACGGAGGCGTTTCTGTGTGCTGTGGTGTGTTGCAGGGAGCCCAGCACACCTCCTGCACCAGCCTGCAGGAGGGGGCACAGACACTGCCTGTCCTTGGGCTCAGATGGAAACCCCACAGGCACTGGAGGGGAGATGGGGAATGAGAGCCCAGGCTGAGCAGCTGTGGCTCTGCCATGTGCAAGTTGGCATCACATAAATCAAAGCCATCCTCCTAACAGTGGTCACAATGGTGCCAGCAGCAGTGCTGGACACCCTGGGGAGGGGAAGGGGCCACAGCTGGTGCCAACACGAGCTGTACTCACCACAGCTGCATCCTCTTCCTCCTCCTCTTCCTGCTTGGCAGCACCAGGCAGTGCCCGGGTGGCACTGGGCCAGTGGTAAGGGAAGCGCAGGTCGTCCCGCTGTGCCCTGTGCCTCCCACTAGGGCCGCGGGCTGTCAGCTCAGCAGGGCTCTCCCCAGGGCTGCCGCAGCCCCGCAGCTCCCGGCGGTGGTGCCAGTCTGTTTCCCTGCCACGGCCGGAGTCTGACAGATCCAGTGGCGTGTCTGCATCGTCATCCCTTGCCTCCTTCACCTTTGCTCGGAGCTCGGGGCGGTCTCGGCTCAGCCAAAGCTCCTTCTCTTCCTTCCCATCCGCGGCATCCTCCAGGAAGGACCTTTCCTCCTTGCATCCCGCCGCGATGCTCAGCCACGGGGAGAGGGGCCGCTCCTCAGGTGTGAGCTTGGTGTCTCCCTCTGCCCGCTGGCCTGGCTGGCACTGCTGCATGAGGAGGTGCTGCAGCCGCTCCCGGTGCTTGAGGAGGTGCAGTTTTTCTTCCAGGTGCTGATCCCTCACGTACACCATGGTGGCAGGGAGCTTCAGCAAGGCTGCGTGATCTTCCCAGCCGTCGCGTGACCGTGTCCTGCCCTCGGCATCTTTGGTCCTGAGCAAATGGCTGGAGAAGCTGCTGCCATCCCTCTCAGCCGAGGTGCAGTGACTCGCCAGCCCTAGCTGGTGCAGGGAAAGGTGCTTGTGGAGGAGGCAGAGCTGCTCTCTCCGGGTGGTCAGTTTTAGGTTTTCGTAGGATGGAGCAGCCCTGGGGGAGTCCAGTTTGCTTGCTGTTAAATAACTAAAAAAAGCAATGAAAAAACCATCATTTTAAATAGAGGGTTTTCCCGTGGTTTCCTAGCCCTGCAGGGTATGTACATGGTCTGTCCTGCTTTCTGTGCCCTCTTGCAGCTCTTGGCCTGTGCATCATGCTTGCCTTTGGATGCTGGGGAAGAAGGTCCTGGTGGCTGGAGAGTTCAGGCAGCACGTCTCCTCACTGCACACACTGCAGGAAACCATCCCTATCCAGCAGCAATCCCCTGTCCCTGGGCCACAGCAGGTCCAGGCAGTGGGTTGAGTGAGGGTGAGGATGCAGTGACCACTCACATGAGCACTGCTGCTGAGACATCACTTTTCAAATCATGCCTTACAGCCAGCAGCATCCTACGCACCCTCCTGGGCTTTCTTAGTGCCTTGGTGAGCCTGAAGACACCCAGGACAGAGGAACAGCCCACTCTGCCCTAATCTCACTCAATGGGAGCCTTTTACAGCCATGCTAAGAAGGTTGGTACAGTGCATGAACCTGCTCTGTAAACCCAGTCCCTGCTATCACTGGTTATTTCCCTTCCATGAGTGCAAGCTTTTCCCAGGAATGCTCAGCAGAACTACTCCCTCTCTGGAAAACTTGCTACAGGTGAACTCACTAGCCTTGCTCAGCCCTCTGTGCTCCTGAAATCCATGAAATCCTGGGAAGTGCTGAGCCCTGTAGAAAAGCCCATTAGAATAGATAAGGAGGAGCAGGGATTCCTGCCTGCTGTGGGACAAGTCCTTCTCCTAGCTGGAGGTGGGGGCACCCAGTTCATTTTATGGGTCTATCTGAGAAGCTGGAATAATGAGAGGCTGACCTTGTTGGGCTGCATTCCAGTCATTTTTTGCTGGTATAAACTGGGAGATTCCCCCCTCCCCAAGGCTGTGGGAGAAGATTGGAGGGGAAGGTGGACAGACACAGTGAATACCAGCCATCTCAGTCTGCCCAGTGGGACAGTGCCTTGGGCCATGGATCAGGCCCACACCACGACCCAGGAGCTGGTACTCACGCCTCAAGGCTGGGGCTGTGCTCGCGCTCCGGAGGGAGAGGAGTCTTCCTTGCTGGTGGTGACACTGCTGTCCCTGAGTGGCTCTTTTCCAGGACACAGGGCCTGGAACCAGGTCTCACGAGGGCAATGGTTCCATGCAGCTGGTTGGAAATCCTCTGGGATGCCTGTGGCAGAGGGGAGAAAGTCCAGGTGAGCCATTCTGCTGTGCACCCTGAGCTACAGGAAGCCCAGCTGAGCTGGAGTGCATCTCTTTACCAGTGATAACAAGACAAGCAGCTCCTGAGTGCTCTGTTTGATGATTCTGGTCAACAGCTTGACCAGATTTTTATTAATTTTTACTGGGAAATTTCCCCCTTATGCTTTCTGGCAGGATCTACTGCACTCTCTGTTTTTGGGCTGCCCTGATTTGTAGAGCAGGAGGTCTTGCGTCTCTGCTCAAGTCATGATTCAGTGGCTTAACCAAGATAAGACCCTGCAAATTCCCTAGCCTTTACTCATGTAAGCTCCTGGCACACACAGGTTTGGTGGGTGTATTTCTAGTGGAGTACCTGGTTGTGAGGCCAGGACATCATCATCTCCATCAGCTGTCATGAAAGGCTCACCACATGTTCTGACTTGACTTTTCCCTGCCCACCTGGAGATGTCACCAACCCTTCCTGTGATCCCTATTAATTATCCCCACAGCCTGCCTGCAGCCTTACCAAAGCCCCTTTTCACCTGCTCTTTCAAGTTTTTTGTGGAGGTCAGGTAAGAAAAACCTGTGCCAAAACAGAAGCACCTATGTGGGTGTGTTTGTGGGTTTGATTTCCCATGACCAGGAACAGGGCTCCAGGTCCTGCAGTCTCACCTCCCAGCATCCAGTGTCACCATATCACTCAGCAACCCTCAGCTGGCACACTCTCTGTGTTTGTGTTTGCATCAATGCACAAAATGGCAACCACTGAACACCAGGCCCTCTGAAAATACCAATATTCATTATGCTGCACATGGAGAGACACCTGTATCTGCTCTTGGGCAGGGCTGCTGTGGTGTGTTTGTTCCTGGTACCCACAACTCCCACAGTTTACACGTACTCCAGGCTTTTCCAGCATTCACTGTGCTCCAGCTCCTTGCTCACCCAGGTAATGGAGAGCTGGCTCTATGGCTCAGAATAAGCTACACTGAAATGTGGCTCAGCACAATCTCCCCAGCTCCTTCATTCCTCAGAGGTTTCCCCAGCAAGACATCTAAGAGAGGAACCAGAGCAATGGGCAGAGGACTCAAGGATGCTGGATGTGTTGTCATGAAGGATAAACACAGGAGCAAACATGGATGTGCATGTTCACAGCAGGGACAGGAGCCTGTGCCAAACTTCACATGCTTTGCTTGCAGCAAGTGGCAATTTCTGCAGAGAGAATGCACCTGGCATTTGGTAGGTGCCCTCCTTGGCACTGCCCAAGTCTGGTTAGTTGTTTCACCCTCTGAGTGCCTCTTACTCTTTCCCTATCCCAATCCGCTTGTCTTGATCCAGTTCAGATGACCACAGCGGTGGGAAGAAGGCCTGAGGACATTGGACCATCTCTGACAACTCACCATTTCTGCAAGGCTGACTTCTTGGAGGGCAGTGCCTGGGGAAGTCCTGCTGCTTGGAGAGCTTCTCTGTGCTGCAGGCTTTGCTGCAAGAAAGACACAGTCATCCAGAGCTGCTGCAGCCCTGCCCTGCAGTGTGCTGGAGTCTCACAGCCTCCCAGGGACCCACTGGCTGGTACCAACCACCCCTTACTGAAAACTTTGAGTCAAAATTTCCTTTTGGCTCAAGCCAGCACTTGATTGAACGTTCCCTCCATTACACATGTGGTTGGGCAACATGGTCTCTGCATGAAACAGGTGGTGGATCCACACTTGCACATCACCTGTGTTACAGTGAGGGCTCCCAAACACTCTTTTTCTCTAATGCAGAGCAGTGTGTTTCTCCTTTGATGTGCATTTCTCCCCCAGCACCTGTTCTACCCACGGCAATGTCCATCTGAGATGACAACAGCTTGGCCTTCGCTCTCCAGACCCTTTCCCAGAGCAGTTTTGCACCATGACTCTGTCACTCTTCCTGTTCCCAGGTCCCTCAAGGGTGGCAGGAGCCAGCAACACCCACCTTCTCCCAGTTCGAGGTCTGCCACATCATGGTGGGCTTCTTCTGCTTCCCTGTGAGCTCCTTTCTCGCTGCCAACAGTTCTGCTCACCGGGGACAGTAAAGGCAATGGGGAGCTTGGTGTGGAGCTGCTTTCTCTGGAGGTGACTCCTGGGTTCTTTGCCCTGTCCCTGTTGAAAGGAAAAGGACATGAATTAATGGGAAGGGGCAGGAGAAGGAAGGTTTTGGAGCCACTGTACTGGGAGCTCTGAGGCCGATATACAAATGTGCATATTTATGTAAGTGTGTATGTGGATATACTGGATCCTCAGACTCATCTCCTTCCACTGAAGCTTATCACTGGCTCAGCTGCAGTCTGGAGCATGGGACAGAGCCAGCACGACAGCTCAAGGTCTGATTGCCCCACTTGGCTGTGGGTAACATCGCAGGATGCCACGACGTTGGGTAAGCCAGGACCCAGCTGTGACTATTGCAAAAGCCCTGTGGGAACCTGTATGTCCCTGGCTGGGCTTTCAGCCTGATGTAGGGGTGGATTCAGCATGAGGATGTGGTGGCTGTGCTCTGTCACCATATCAGGATGGAGGGGCTGATGGTCTTGATGACTATGAGGGAATGACTAAGTCTTGGAGACACATGTTTATGTCATGGACAAAGTCCTGGCTGGACTCTGATGCTGAGACATAGATGTTTGGCTGGAAATCTTCCTATCCAGCATCCCAGGGAGAGCAGAGCAGAGCAGGAGCACTCATCAAGCCCTGCCCAACCTGCAGCTCTGGAATTAGTCAGGTCTTGAGAAGCATTTGGGGAGTAAAAGCCAGAGTTTCTCTTTAAGTGGATGGTGCTCCTGTGCTCCAAAGAAAACACATTTCTAAACTAATTCCTCAGTGCTAATTCCTCTGGACTTTAAACCCTTGAGGAATGAGCTGATTTGTATATATTGGCCAGCCTGGCAGGTTACTTGGCTTTCAGCACAGTGCTCTGCTGGGATACGAGCCTGTTGGTGCTGATCTCTTCTCCCTCTTTAACTGCATCACAGTTCCTTGTGTGTCACTCTCCTTCCTCCAAAACACAACCTGGCTGCTGCAGGAAGGGAGCTGGTGCCATGGAAGAGCCCAGGTGGAGGTCCATGGCCAAGCTGAGCAGCCCAGGACTTTGCTTCCCATGAGCTGTACCCCATGAGGAGGAGAGGGGTTGAATACCCTTGTTCCCCAAACACTGAATCCTTGGATGCTGGTTAACAGGGGAGTGAGCAAAGGTCAACAAGGGTTTTGAGACTATTAGGAATGTGTCAATGTCTAATATATACAGGAATCCACAGGAATTAGATGCTAAAATACCCCTGAGGATACTGCAGTCTGGACATAGCCCTGCTCAGCTGTGGGGATGCCCCTGTCCTTACTAACACCCCTGAGAATGAATGAAACCCAGGAAAGCACTTACTCCAGGCTCCGGAGCTTCTTCAGTTCTTCCTTGAGAGTTTTGTTCTCTTCCCTCAGGCGATTTGTCTCATTAGCTGCAGGGACAGAGGTTGTGCTGAGGGTTCAGGTGCTGCAAGGAGAGAGCTGATACTCCCCACAGCTCACTGGGGTCCTCAGGGGAGGAGGAGGGGGGAACGGCAGCAGGTTTTGGAGAGATGCTGAATTTCCTTCCTTCTCTGAAAATGTGCAGGGACTAAGGGATAAAAGGGAGCAACTTTCTGACTCAGGTTTCATCAGGACTGGGTCTGCTTGCAGCTCGTCCAGCTCAGGGGGAGAGCACGACAAGATGCAGCAGCGGCCGTGGTGTGGTGGGTTGGACACAGCCAACATCCTGCCCTGAACACCACAACCGCCCCTGATGAGCAGGTGCTGGGTTAGGGGGAGGACTGGGGGTCTGGGGTGGGATCAGGCAAATTCCAGAGGGAGCTGAGAGCACCCACCGGGTGGGTGCTGCAGTGAGGAGGCCGTGGGCAAGCACGGGCAGGGTGGGTGACTGCCTTGGCTTGCTCCTGCTCGAAAGCAGCACTCGGGAAGCAGTGGCATAGCAGGGGAGATAAACCAAGGGCTGTTGGCACCTCTCCATCCCTCCTAAATGCCTTATCTCCCTTATCCCCATGACCCTCCTGGGGTCAGCCCAATCCCCAGGGAAAAAAAACCCACTCTTGAGCAGTGCTGGGAGCCCTGCCAAAAGCTCAGGAGAAGATCCATCACACGTGTTGCTTGATTTCCATTTACCCGTGCTGAGCTGCTGCTGTGACTTTCCTGTCTTTGCCAGACTGTTGCTCCTGCCATGCCAAATGCATCTTTTTTCCTTGCAGCTGACATGGCCTGGCATTTCTTTTCTGGAGGTGCAGAGGGCTGCAAACCCCCGCTCTGCTGCTTTGTTACCTCTGCTTGGGGGGTGTGGCTGACATCCACAGCTCTACTCCCTCCCTTCTCCCCACCCCCAAACCCCTTTTGGGTGCCTGGTCACCACGAGGGCTCCTGTGCAAGTTATCTGGGAGAGGCATTAACTGAGCAAAGGCTGAGCCAGCCAAAGCTGAGCCTACAGCGGGCAGTGGTACGTACAGAGGATGAAGATGTGCTGCAGGCTCTGGAAATGGGAAGTCTCATACTCATTCTGCTTCTTTTTGGCCAGCTCCTGGGTGACCATGCATCTGTCACAGAGACCTGCTCGCAGCCTGGAGGAAGGGAAAACCACGGCCAGCAGCTTGTTACCACACAGTTTCCATGGGGGAAATAAGCTCCTGCCCTCCCCATAGAGAAGTGTGAACACCCAGCCCATCACCCCAAATTGGTGAGAGGGGTTATCACTGACCCTTCCACCCCCCCAGATCTCGTCCCACCATCATGAGCTCCTCTGCATGTGCTCAGACTCCTCCAGCTCTCCCAGTAGCTGAGTATGAGCAATACAGAGGTTCCCGTGCTATACCCCACTCCTGGGAAGACAGCAAATTCTGAAGTCTCCCCCTAGGATGATGCAGTTGCTGCCACTAAGCAGCACCCTATTGAAAAACAAATCCTACCTGTTTTCTAACACCTTTACATTTTCTTTAAGGACCTTTTGTTGTTCTCTCAATTGGTGATTTTTAGCAAACAGCTCTTCAATTCTCTGAGCATCACTAATTGAAAAAACAGAACACACAAAAAAAGGGAGTTATTGGATTTCTCCCCAAAATCTGTGCCTTGATTCACAGCGCCCTTTTGCCTGTGGGGCAGGAGGGGAAACAAATGTGTTAGAGCACAGATGCTGCCCTGTGACACCTCTCTTGGAGTTAAGAGCTCACTTCCTCACAGTTTATTGCTTCCCAAGAGAATAATCACGAGCTGGCACGAGCATCACTTGCCAGTGGGAAGGTGAACCGGAGGTAGGTTGGGATCACACCGAGCCCTGCCTGTGCTGGGGACTTGTGTGGCAAAAACTCCAGAAAGGTTTGAATTTGGCAGAGCCAGAAAGGCAAGCAGTGCTCTCTAAATCCATCAGTTTTGGAGGAGAACTCGGGAGGTCTGAAAATTAAGCAGTGTAACCACCCCTCCACCCCCTGTCCCACCACGGCGTGGGTGGGGTGGGCTCGGCACTGCTCACCGGCACTTCTCCGTCGTCAGCTCCGTCAGCTTGCTGTGCAGACCTGGAACAAGGAACAGAGGCAGAGAGGTGGGTGTTTGTTGCCAATCCCCTGGCACTCAGAAACGAACTGCAGCGAGGGAACTTCAGGAAGGTGCGTGGCTTTGCAGAAATCTCATCGATTTACAAACCGTATTTCCGAGAAGGAATAACACACTGTGTGTGTGGAACACCACCACAGTTTAATATAGCTGGAAAAACCTCACAGGATGTGAGCACATTTTGTATTCCGAGTATTTAATGCATCTGCATTTGCCTCCCACCCCCTCAGAAGTCTGGTTTAGTTTTGTTTCTACTTATTTCTTGCTACAGCATACATTTCCCAGGTGGGCAGTATTTTGTAGCTCTCAGGGTTGGAAAGCATCTTGGAGAATATTTACAGCTGAACAAGAACGGCTTTGGTTGATGGATCTGCAGACGTTACATCCTGTCAAATACATTTTATGCAAAGTAGATGTAAGCATGTGGTTTAAATTGCTCAACAGCTTCCTCTAACTCTCACACGGCTTGATATTACACAAGTGAAGAATGAATTCATAAGCCAGAATCCTCCAAAAGTGCTGATGTTTTGTTCATAATATTGATACTGGGAATTATTCTAATAGGAAAACAATTGTATTTGGCATTTGGTTGCTTAACCTAATGGGTTTTATTTTAATAATGTATGACCTGAGGAATAATTTATTCCCTAGAGGAATAAACTATCCAACCTGACTCTAATGCTTTCTTTAACAGAGCTTCATCTCCTGCTGCTTCTGTCTTATAGATTATTGCATCTCTCTGTTTTCCCTTTGATCCTTCACTATCCAAATGTACTCCAATCCTCGTTGCTTGGAGCAGATGCCCAGCAGGTGTGTGTGTCACCTCTACAAACCTCCCAATTCACCTTTAGCACAGACTATGGCACCAGGAGCAGGAAAGGAGCCAAACCCCCACGGCTAGCGCTTGGAGCAAGTGGGATTCCCACAGGGATTGAGCACCTCCGTGGCTCGCTCTCCAGGAGCCTTGGATGCTCTCTTCTGCTCCTCCTCATCATCCACAAAGCTACTGATTTTCTCAGTAAACTTTGTTCTCCACCGGTGAGAGGCACCAAGGTGCCATCAGAGGGGGTGCTCCCCTGAGGGCCAGGCTGTGATCCCACATCCCAGTACATCCCCACAGGTAATACTTGCTCAGCACTAATCCCCAAAGTTCCACACCTGCTCCTCCTCCCTTCTGGTTATTTGAAACCAAACAGATCAAAGTGGCATTACACAGAAATGGACCTTGGCCAGTTTTTGATCAGACATCTCATGTCTCCTTACCTTGGACCTCTTTCTCATGGATTTCCTTGAGCTTGTTCAGGAACTCTGCAAAACTCTCTGTGGTCATGTTCAGGGCTGAGCCACACGCTGCTCCTGCACGAGGATGTCCTTTTGTTTCAAATTATTCAGGTTTCAGCCTAAAATAGAAAGAAAAATCCAATAAAAGAGATGAGTCTTGTGCATGTGGTGTTCTGGGGCAAAGCCCAAAGCTAGGAAAGGAAATAATTTTCTAAACCATGAGATGCATTTTTGTCCACCCTGCCTCAGCTCTGAGCACAGCAAAGAGCATGTCTTGGAAGCTGGGAGAACTGAAAGCCCAGCTGGAAAATCAGGCTTTTCCTCTACCTGCTGAGCTGTTTAAATTGCATTTCTCTGGGACGAGGTGGGGCAGGACATTTTCTCGAGGATAAAGAGGGGACTGCAGGACTTGTGCCAGGACCACATGGGGACTGATGGTGGGAAAATTCGCAGCAGAGTTGGTGCTTGACCCTGATGGGCCCAGCAGGAGATGGGTCCAAGCATCACTTATCCCTCTGGCACCACACACAGTTTCTACAGAGGCAACACGTACCACTCAGCCACCTCACTGTCATCACCCAGGCTTTCTGCATGGCTGCTGGCTGCAGCCCCTTGGGAACCTTCAGAGACACCAGAGTTTTTCACACAATTTTACAGAAAACCAGGGGAGGTGGTGTGCAGAGCCAAGCCCTGCAGGAAGCTGGGGTGGGCACAACACCTGTGGGGTCTGCCAGGACCACAAAAACCATTCTGGGAGAAGACAGACTTCCACAGCAAGGCATTCAGCATTACCACGCAGGAGCTTCTCCCCTAAAAGTCATGCCGGGTTAGTGAGTCATGGCCAGTAATCCCAATCCCAACAAAGCACCTGGACACTGAGCCTTCAGCCACGAAGAGATGACCAGGGAGAAAACCTCCCCTCTGTTGTTGGAAAGTGAAGAGTGGGCTGGGAGCTGGGTTTTACAGCCCCACGGCAGCATGAGAAGTTTTCCACAGGGTTCCAGCCCTCTCCCAGCCCGGCTCGCTGCCGGCAGCCCGCCTGTGCCTTTATCTGCACGCAGAGCAGAGGTGTGCCAGATTGCCTGCATATGCAAGATGTGGGCACGCAGAGCTGGAAGAAGAAAGTTTCCCCTAAAGCATCTGATTTTCAAAAGAAATGAGGCACGCGCCAGCAAGCACAGACAGTGAGCTTGGCTCGCGTGCTCTCGGCACGCTCGGATCAGCAGAACAGCTGCCTGAACATGAACCATCCCAGAGTCACTTCGTTTGGCTTCTGAGCAAATCTGGTGCAAGTAGAGAGAGATCTCACTCTCCGGGAAAAAAATATTAAAAATATTCATAGCTCCCACTTCCCTGGGAATAACCCACCCTTTCCCAGGGCTGAGTGATCTATCCCAGCAAATAAAAGCTACCCAAGGCACGGTGTGGCTTGTGGCGGCTCATGCAGCTTGAGATGGGCTATTGTGAAATGGGATTGGGAACTGATCTCTCCTACTCAGCCCCAAGAGCCACAGCTGAATAACCAGTCAGGAGAAACAACACCTGACTCTACTGCAAAATAGAAAAAACCCCAAACCCCTGATATTCATGGGAAGCACTTCCCAGGATCACTAAGTCCTAAATTTGGCTCTACCCTGAGCACAGCACCTCCCCAGGGCTGAAGGGAGGTTGTGAGACCCACCACTGCTGTCATGGGACTGAAACCCCAAGTGCTGGCTGGGAAGGCTCTGAAGTGCTCAGGTACTAATCCCCATTACATTCTCTGTTGTTGTAATCTGGGAAGGGATTGCAACTGGGAACAGAGCCAGGGGTGCTACATGAGCTCCTTACTATGCTCTCTGGGCTGGATCAGCCCCTGCCCATCTTGGTGCTGCCTATTCCCCAAGGCTGGTGTCTCCAAGGGCTGAACCCAGCATTTCAGGACACAAGGCTCCAGCTGGGACATCCTGGCAAGGTGACACCCTGGTTGGGACTGGTGCCAGCCTGTGGTTCAGGTAGGTAGGGCTGGGCTGGGATGTGGTGGGAGGTGGAGGGCGCGGGGGCAGCCCAGGTGCTCTGTGCCAGATCCGATCCCTGCAGCTGTGACTCAGCGCTGTGGGCAGAGCCTGGCAGATCAAGATTCGGAGCTGGGCTGTGGGCAGCAGCTTTGCCTTCCATGCATGGCTGTGGTGCCACCAGGGTTGGGGTTCACTCCTGATTTTCTTTTCCTCAGAGCCCTCAGGTGGGCAGGGACCTGTGACCTGCTGCGAATCCAATCAGTGGGGAAATGCTATTGCTGTTTTTGGTGCTTTTGAGATGCCAGCACCCAACCCTGCCTGCAGACAGGACAGCCTCTCTGTGGCAAACCTGGAGAGGACTTTGGGTCTCTGGTCTGTGCACACACACTGTAGCAGAGATCCTGCATGAGCACTGCTCCCCATGTATCTGTACCCAGTATTCAGCCTTTTGCTGCAGCAGGGCAACCCAGGCTCTCTGAGGGGTTCAGCTTTGCTTCCTTCTCTCTTCTGTCCCACTCCAGAGGATTTATTGAAGGAGATTTACTGATGAAGCCCAGGTCACACAGTCCCTCGGTGTGGAGCTCACTCCCTGAGACAGGGATTTCATTTACAGCCCTGAGCCCTTTCCAGAGCTGTCACTGTGATATACACCCAGCGGTGCCGGATGTGGCCCCGCGGAGGGGCCCGGAGCAGCCCTTTGGTGTTCCGGCAGGGCTGGATGTATTTCAAAGTGACGGGTGCCCTCTGCAAACAGAGCCCCAGTGTCAGGGACCAAAGGCAAACTCTTCATCCAGCCCCTAAATCTGGAGGGCTTGGAAAATCCAAGACCCGGGGCAGGGCAGTTGTTGACTGCCGTGGCTTTGCTCACCTGCTCTCCTCATGTCTTGATGGTCAGCTCAGGGCAGGAAAAGGGGTCCAGGTTGGTACACAGGGTCCCCCAGGAATGTCAGCTCTCATGCACAGGACTGGAACAGCCCTAGGCAATGCCTGGGTACTGATGGCATCCTTGGGGCAGGATGCTCCCGGCTGGGGAAAGGAAAAGCAGCAGGGAGGTTATTTTCTGTCCTGTCTGAAGGCCTTGGGAGGGGATGGACTCAGACAACGGCTCTAACAGCACAGCTGTCCACCATTCCCTGGTGCCCGGGCTGTTCCTGGCCTCCCAGCACTGCCTGCCATGCTCACAGTAAGCAACACACATCCCTAAACTCAGCACTGTCTCCTTTCAGAAGGATAAAGAAGCTCATTAGCTAAACAAGCTTAAATCTTAAAAAAAAAAAAAAAAGCAGAACTGTGACATTCTAACACCGTGGGGATCAGTGAAGCTTAATGGATTTGCCACCAGATATTTCCCCATCAGCAGTGCTGGAGTTGTTCAGCTCCAGGCTGGATTGATGTAATACACTCCTCATTGGGTGATTGCCAGGCAGAGCTGCTTTGACCAGCCAAACTTTCTTTCCTTGACTACCCTACTATGTTCCTGGTCTAATTTTAGAATTATAAAACAAATTTATACTCAGAAAAACTACCTGATCACTCATGGAAAATCTACAGTACCAGGAGTATTTAGCAGGCCATTGTGGAGCTAATGCTCTTTGCTGAAGTACTGTGAGCTTGACAGTTTGAAGAGGGCTTTTTTTTTTCTGTGTTGAGGGTTTCTTTTTCTTGCTGGGTATTTATTTATTCGCATGACTTAACATGGCACAGGCTGTCCTAAAATGGAGCCCAGTGCCTGCTCTCCGCTGCACTGGGCTTGCTGTGGGTGCTGGATAGGGGCTGGCAGATTGCAAAATTACCCCCCAACAGGTGAGACAGGAGGAGCAGCCTTGGCTCTTGCTTCTCCAGGGAGGAGGATTTGGTGCTTTCTCCACCTCGCACAACCTGAAAATCCTCCCAGAAGCAGGGCAGCTGCTCCGTGCTGCTCTGCCAGCCCAGGGGCCGGTTTGCAGCAAGCTCTTGCTGCTGACACCCAGCCCCAGGGTCGCCTCTGCTGGGGGTCCCACCCGGGTGCTGTGAAGCTCCAGCAGGGCTATGATCTGCCTCAATGGCCCTTCAGGTTTGCTGGGGACTGGTGCTGGTCACAGCCCCCTGAACAGGTTAAATGGGACCGGCAGCACCAGGGAGATGCTGCCCCTGCTCACGTGTGCACAGACGTGTCCCATGGCAGGGAGAGGAAAACAGGAGTGAATCCTCCAAGATAAAGCTCCAGCCTCAAGTCCCAACCTGCACATGGATTTACTTCTACCCCATAAAGTCTCTGTTGCCATAATACAGCACAGCCACGGTGATCACAAGCCCAGCAGTTTAATTTCTACCCCATCACCCCAACCCTATGGAGGCAGCTCCTGCTTTTCTAACTGCTGTGGCAACCACCAAAACAATGGGGGTTTTCTTTCATTGCCTCATTTCTGCTTGAGACCCCCTGTTTTCCCTGGGAACTGGGACATCCCTCCTCCCAACACAGTCTTTGCTGCCCTGGCCTTGCAGGATCACTAAAGCAGGAGCTGCTGGTCCTCTGCAATACCTGAATACGCCCAGGAAATGGATTTTGGCTTTTATATAGCCAAGTGAACAGTTTGGGGGGCTCTCCTTGCACTGTACCCAGCTGGGAGGGAGGTTTTGTCCTCCCACTCCTCAGCTTCTGCTGCTTTGCTGAGGTTTAACACTAAATATTTGTTCTTCTCTCCACTTGAGGAGGAATGACAGTTGGACCCACCAGTCATGCCATGATGCTCCACAGAGCATGGTGGGCTTTGGACAGATCCATGGGCAGGTTTGTGTGCCTGCACAAGGATTCAGAAGATTATTAAGAGTAGCCACTTATCTGCCTGTGCATCTTGGGGTAACCACAGCTTCTGTAAACATTACTTAATTAACACCTCAAAATGCTCTGGGAAGTGGGTAATGAAGCATTATCGCGTGTTTCAGGTGTTTTAATGGAGAAGTGGTGATGTTCAGGGAATAGCTCAAGGCCCCATTGGGAGCAGAGGCACGTGGTCACTGCCTCCACCAGCCCAGCTAACACACTCCCACTCTCTCCCCGAGCCCCAGAGCC